TTGCCGGGCGGTGAGGAGGCATGGGTGGCGATAATGCTATTCCCTGGTGATATCCTGTGCGCTTCATTTCCCTGCTCACAATGTTCTATTCACTAAGACAGCCTCACAGCATCATTCCACCCAACGCCCGGCACATGGTGTTCACGATCTTGAATTGCATCATGGCCGGCATTCACTTCTACCACCACATGCAGCTCCAGCGTTCGATGTGCGGGTTCATCTGCACCCTGTTCACGGCTTGGAAGATATCCAACGCGGAACACCGCAACTTCATCTCAATATTTCAAGCGTTCTCAACCTTCTACGCCCCTGGATTCCTCCCGAAGAAGCGGAAGTTGCTGCCTAAGACGCACACAAGTAAGTCTTACATTGAACACCTTCGAACTACAGCTCATCAACCAATCAGTCCTTCGTACACTACCTGACCCCGCTAGCCCGCACGGCTTACCCGTTCTATTGTCCATGGCGACGGCCTTGGTCTTCCACGACACGCTCTCCTTCGATAACGCCAAGAGCAAGTACTACGAGCTGGACCGCTGGAACTTCAAGTCGATCTGGCACATGGTGGCTAAAAAGGGCCGTATCGTGATGGACGAGGAGAACCAAGTAGGCTGTGACCACGAAACGACTCTGCGTCAGTACTGCGACCTCGTCAATGAGGATCTTGGAGACTACGACGATCGGTGGTCCTGCGCCGGGCTTGCCGAGGTCATGTTCTTCGTCGGACGCGCTATAGTGTACTTGAGCATGCGCTGGCAGGAGGACAGGGACAGGCCAGACACCGATGATGAAGGCGACGATGCCGCCAAGAAGGAGCCGGTGAAGCCAACTCTTGAAGAGCTGGAGCAGCTGAAGTGGCTGGAACCAGAGGAGGTGTACGCTCGGGTGCGCAGCGATCTGAGCTGTGCCTTCGGCATTGTGGAGGATGCTGTCGGTGCGCTCCTGTGCGACCTGCAGGACATACGCTCGATCACGGACACGAAGATCTTCCCCGAAGTGACCTGGATGGCCGACAGCGAACGGAGCTCTCCACGTCCTCCTAGCTTGTGGGACGCTTTTTACCAAGCGAACGACGAGCCGGAGGATTCTGCTACGGATGCGCCCGACCCGGGAGACGAGGCTGACGTTGAAGATAGCGATGTTGAGGGCACACGGGACGGCGAAGGCAAGAAGCGTCGATCTGGTAGGAAACAGTCGCGCTCGACGTGACGGCGCGTATGTGTCCAACTTCGTTCTACTCTTATTTCATCTTCCTCGCATGTACCCCACTGGTTTCCTTCCTTCCACTTCTCCCAACCCGTTTGATGCTTTTCAGTCCGCTTGCGTGTTGTATGTAGTACGTCGTAATCCAGATATGTGCTTTCTGGCAAGCGACTGCGACATCCGTCTCAATACACGGGTAAATGGGTATGTTGACGACCCTCAATTAACACTACAGGTCGCATAACACACGTGATCGCGCGCAGGATCGAATCGGCGGCGTAGTGGGATTTAACACGCGGTGAGAATGTTGCCTTCAACCACCACGGCCAAACTTGCTGACCACAACATGCTTCCCTTTCCTCTCGAATGCCGCGACATACGGCGCGTTCCTTACCTGCCCGACCCACACTACCTCCTAGTTCTCGAGGGGCAGTCTTCTCCGCCGGAACGCCCTCTATTCTCATGGGAGAAGACGATCTGCAACGCACAAGTCGACTATCAAGGGTGGTGGGGCCCTCACGAATGGTCCTTGCTTCCTCAACTGTACGACTGCAACTCCCCCTGGCTTGCTTTCCTACCAATCCACCACGATCGCCACCACATATCACGCCAGGACATCACCCGGGACATGATTGTCGACGCGCCTCGACTCGACAGCTCGTACCGCGCGAAGCAGCCACTGCTGTTTGCACCGGGACCCGAACTGAAGGAACGACTGCGATCATACGTCGACCATGCTGTGGAGCAGGCTAAAGCAGTGCTAGAATGCCTGAAGTCGGACCGCAACGGAAAAGGCAAGGAGCATGCAGCCTGGCCCACAGGAGCCAACGAGCGCGCTACATACCTGTTCCGGCAACTCTTGGCCGGTGTTCCTTCTGTCAATGCATTCAGACGAGCTCTCACTTGCTTACGGCGCGCCACGGGCGAACTTGAAGCCTTCGCAATCTGGGGAAACATCCTGCGGGAACGTGGAGAACAGCGCTCGAGCAACCTCAAGACCTACCGAAGTGAGAGGAACGTCGACTTTCGCGGTGTCTATCTTCACGGCGATCGCGAGCAGTGGTTGGAAGAGGGTTCTGACGTGAGGCGCGTGTACAGAGAAGTAAAGGAGTGGGGTGTGCCTGTATACGCATTGGTGAAAGGGATGGACTGGGATATCACGCCGTTCATGGCTCTGGGGAAGAGCATCAGCCCTCTCCCTCGCGCAGAAGCGATACAAGGTATGAGGTCCCCGCCTTTCAGAGCCAGCACACGCTCACAAGTGCAAACAGAACGTGAAGAGCGTCAACTACCGTTCTACTGCTACCCGCCTAAAGTCGACGGAACGACTTTCGAACGCGCGGCGCGAGGGCTGGCTCATCATGACGAGGAGGGCAAGAAGGGAGAGATTGAAAGGTTGCGCGGCTTGGATAGCAGACGGCAGAAGACGCAAGGTGCGCGATTGTCACTGTCTCATCTGCGCGCGTTAACAGAGACCCAGTTGAACAGAGCAACGCCTCAAAGGCGCCTTCGAACTGGCATAAAGTAGTAGGACCCGATAAGCGCGCACACCCAGAAGTTCAAGCCAGGGTCAACCCGAAGCACGGACCGCCACCATTCATGCCGTACTGGAAGCTATCGGACCCGCTGGCCATGCACACTCCCGAACACCTCTCCGTCAACGCTGGAAAGGGAACTTTCTTACCAAGACCATCCGCCATATGGGGTATCGAAGGGCCCCGGAAGATAACCTCGCTCGAGACGCTCACCGCCATCTGGAAGTTACTGGTCCTGCGCCCTTGCCTGTTCAAGCGCGGAGATCTCACAGTCGAGCAGGCATACCTCAAAGCGCAGGACTGGCGCGACATACTCAACCGCGCGGCTTCCGACACCCGCATGTCGACCCTGTGGACGAACGGCAAGCCAGAACTCTGGGGTTCGCGGCTTCAAGTGTCAGTACAACAGCGCGTCGCCCAGATCGTTGGCGAGCCCACGCTCAAGAAGATGGACTGCTACATGCGTTGCTCGCCAGTGGGGCGGTTCAGCATCGAAAACGACCCGCACCGTCACCTGGAACAGCTAGTTCTAGTACGCCTCACGGAGCTACACGTCCTGCACGACTTTGCGTCGTATCATCCAGCCCTCCAGCATACCATAAACGGCCGTTGGTGTCCTCCACCGTTCGACGCAGACGAAGCTCTAGAAGACCGGCCGGGTGCATTCGAGGATCTCTGCGCGGATGTCTCTGAAGCAGAGAAGCGGGCGATGGACGATATTCTGAGGGTCGTGCGTTGGAATGGACCTGACGGGGCCCGTGCGTGGCAGATGGAAGATGGCGACTCGTATCGCCGGTGGCTGGGGAGCTTCAGAAGCCTTCTGAATGGCTGCCCGAACGCCTGGGTGAACAATCCTGAATTGGAGAGGCTGACCAGCACGCATCCAGAATGGGATCCGTTGACATGCGACCTCGGGCAGGCCGACGCGCCGATCCGTCGGGTAGCGCGGCTGTTGGTGAGTACTCATCTGCTGCTCACGCTGCGAGTAGGACGGCTCCCTTGGCTCTGGTTTGACAAGCCTGTTCTGGATCATTTGGCCTGCAGTCACGATAACCTGTAATGCTGGATAGTATAAAATCTATGCGGCCTGTATTTCTCGCTTGGCAATGCATGTCTGACACGAATAGGACGGGCCAGAGGCCTCTAGGTACGTCAGCTACCTGACTCAACAACGGCTTTACTGTTCCCGAAGCCCGCCAGCAAGTTATTGATCCCACTTCGCCGTCCGGCCGAAGAGCGCAGATCTCTCGTATATGCAGCCTGGCACAGTTTGGCATGGCGACCTACATCTTCCGGAGGCCGGAGGCCCTTGGCGGCCGTTTGATCGCGCATACAGTGACCGAAATACTTATATACAGGCAGTCTCTGGAGCTCGCTCTTCCCCAACGATGAATATCACCCACTTCCTCCGTCACCCGCTTGTCGGCGCGTACTGGTGCGTCTCATACCATCCTTAATACCCCCACTCTAACCGTGTTGTAGTGTTACGCCCTCGGAGCACTTCAGGCGCCACGTCTCCGCAGATGGGACGCGCGTGCGAAGCGACCGCATTGGGAAGGCGGGTAGCCTGTATGCGCGTTTCTACATCTTCTACTAGTACAGTGCTAACATATCATCTCTAGGGCTATGCTTAAACCCGAACCCGAAACGAACCTCGCCGGTGACGCAGCCTGGTTCGGGGTGCTCTCGTGGATTGAGCCCTCGGAAATGGTCAAAGACCCTCTCCCTCGCATGGTGCGCCGTATACTTCCTTTGAGAGACCCTCCTACTGACTATTGGACTTATACAGTGCGAGGTTTGGTGGGTATACACCCGCCAGCACCTCATCGACCTCGTTGAGGGAGGCGACGCGCCGGACAAGGAAGAGTGAGTGCTATCCTAACCCGGGAACCATGATACTGAGTCCACCTGTAGGCTTCTGGCTACTCTGAGGTCGTGCTCCCGGAGGCAGGCGTGGGTCTCAGACCACTATTCCGAAGAGCCTCTCGGCTCGGTCATGAGTACGTCGTCCCCACCTTCACCAGATTCCCAGACTGACTCTCCCCGGCAGCTATCCCAACCTACGCTGAGGTCACCTCGCGCATCAGGATCTCGGGCGGTCGCTACGTCAAGGTAGACGTCGACATCGGGTCTTACGAGTTTGTGAACATGTTAGAGGTTTAGATAGAGTACCTCGCGCCGGCGTGCCGTCCGTGCATCTTCTCAATGCCACCCGCACTGTGTGCAATTTACTGGCAATTGTGTGATCCTCACTGGGACCCTGGATATTATTGTCATTGGTATGCACTCTGCTAGATACAAGCGAAGTACTCGTGCAGTAATGGCTAAATTGATGTGATCACCATGAAATTCCCAGGGATCGAGAGGTCCCTCGACGCAAGACCTCTCGAGCCCTGGGAACATCACTTCGGCCATCACCGAGGCGATGTTGAACCTGACGGTTGTCGAGGCCCTACACTCCGACCTTCACCCTCGTCAGACACTATCATGTCTCCCTCTTCTCCTCCGGAGGCCGCTATCCCACGCATCGACTTTGTTACCTGTACGCGCGACGAGCTCATTGAGAGCTATACAAGTCTGTACAGCTCAGTCGAGAAGCTCGGGGAGCTTCTCCGGCAATCGACGCAGGCGAGCCACAAGCTCTCGGTGGCGCTGTATTCGCAGAGGGAGGAGATGCTGGAGATAAGGGAGTGGCTCGCGCGCCAAACATGGCGAGATACCACGGTAATCCGGCGTCAGGCCGATCAGTCCGAGGAACAGGCGGCTCAGGTGCGTCGTAACGCTGTGCCTTGATTCTACGTCTAACATTCTGTCAGGCAACTAGGTTCCAGTTGGCCATGGATGCGAGTGTTAACCTGGTGCACCGATTAGACGACAACATCGCCTATTTCGTCAAGGGCAGGGACAAAGCCGAGAAGAAGTTGTCCGAGCTTCGCGCTCAGGTGCGTGAGGCTTTACTGTGGTGATATGCTCGTAGCTCAAAGTTGTATATATAGCTCGAGGAGCGCGACGAGGAGATAAGACTCCTGCAGGAGAAGCTGGCAGGTTCGGTGCGTGTATCGGTCCCTTCTCAGGCATAACAGCCCTAACTTTTCTGCAGTGATACCTTTGGTTTACCCGGCAGCTTCATATATACCCTACCGGCTACCCCTGTACCCCTTGTGCTCCCTCGTATCATGCATTTTCTTGAGACAATCGAGTGACAGAACAGTTCCTTTGGCTCCCGTGGCTGATATTTATGTGTCTGAACTAAGGCCGGATAGTGTAATGGTCACTCATAGCTTGAGGTTTCAGGTTCGAATCCTGACGGTCTCTTGAGAAAGTCCGACAGTGCGAAAAGCTCCGGCTTTCGGCGCGAGTGAGATCTTCTTGACTGTCCTGGCTCGACCACACCTATATGGGTTTTTCAGCTGACATACTGGTATAGGGCTGTCTAGTGTACTGGTTGCTTTGGCTGCCTCTTGGTCGCTCCGGCAGAATGCCTCGGGTTCAAATCCCGGTCAGCCTTAATCCAGATCATGTCATCGCTTTTTTGCAGCGACTTTGTGGTGGTCTTGTTAACACAAGGCTGGTCAGATCAGATGAAAGGTATGCCAAACTGTCTAGGTGGTATGGCGAGGTGCATTATGCTGCACACGAAGTCTCCGGATCGAATCATAAGTGGGGAGCCTTGGAAGGTGACCGAAACTATATCACTTATTTAGCTGACATCCTATTACAGGGCTGCCTAGTGTACTGGTTACTTGGGCTGACTACTGGTCGCTTCAGTAGAATGCCTCGGGTTCGAATCCCGGTCAGCCTGATTCCAATTCGTTCTCTAGCTGTTTTGGCTGCGACTTTGCTGTGGTCTTTTTCACACAAGACTGGTCATATCAGATGAAGGGTATACTAAACTATCTAGGTGGTATGGCGAGTTGCGATCTGCTGTACATGAAGTCTCCGGATCGAATCATAAGTGGGGAGCCTTGGAAGATCCAAACCCATCTCCAAAAGCACAGAAGGCTTCATATATGCTGCAAATGCCAGTCTCTCAGCCGAGGGTGACTTCGAGACCGAATGAAGGTGGGTGTGGCAGCTTAGCACTGCAATCGACCCCGACTTATAGTCGCCCGTGAATCCTAGGCCCTTCAGTCGGATCTTCACATTCGGGTCCCCTCCGATAGTGGTCATAACATCATACAGATTGTTCTTGCCACTCTTGCGGTCCCGATGAATGATGGTAGTGCGGTTGCCAACAGCAGCCAAGGAAGTGAAGGCAAAGGGCCAGGTGCGACAAGCTGGTCGTAAGGCGACTTCTTTCCGTGCTAGACGAACCAAGGTTTCACGGGACAGTGCATACTGCTCCGGGTTGACGATGGCGACAGATACAGACATCAAGGCCGCCAGTTTCACGTTGTCCTGTAGCCACCTGCGGGCACCGGCCTGCGCAAGGCTTGGGTGATCAGAACTGCCGATATCAGAGGCAATCCTAACTTTCTTGCCAGGTTGCTGTCAGAGCGGCGTAAGTATATATGGTAGAGAGATGGGAGCATCCTTGGACGTACCTCTTGACCTTGACAATGTAAGAAACCTAATGTGGCTAATCCCGGAGTGATGACAAGCCCATCATCCTTCCTATACAGCTCGGGATCAACCCTCCAGCTCCCTTCTGAATCCGGTTTGTTACTCTGAAAGGTGAGATTGAGCTCATGAGCATCCATGAATATCTGGGCCTATCACGCTAGATTAGGTGGGATACAGGGCTCACAGGCACTGTGCATACCTGTCTGGCTTCCATGATGGCATCAGGGCCGTATAAGAGTACAATGACCCCATATTTATCAAACACTACAGCTGGCCTATCCTCTCTGATGTCGCTGGGAGGGTAGAGTTT